CGAAGGCGTTCGAAGTTGTGGGCAGGCAAATGATCCGACGACGAGTCCAGTGGAGACAAAGGCATCTGTCTAGCTTTAGGTCTACCCACTAATCATTCGAACCAGAGCTCGGTGTTCAGACGCCTCCGCACGTTCGAAAGTGAGCACCACCTTGTAGCTGATACGGCAATTCTCCGAGTCCCGGAGCACGTGTTGGACCCGACGACGGCGTCAGCGTTCGGCAAGGACTCGGGTCCAAGAAAATGGCGAATCGCCAATATTGCTACAGGAGACACTGTATAAGCGTGTCTACATTCATGTTCGAACCAAAGGATCACCGCTATCTTGTCCACCCCCTTGGCACTTCGCGGCCACTTCGTGGTGCTCGAGTCCTTGACAGCCTATGAAAGCCAGCTGCAAAGACCGATCACATATTGCGACGAAGCAGAGCTGCTTTTGAAGGAATCGACCTTGAACGGGACGCGTTTTACACGCGAGATAAAGAGAGGCCGGTCCGTAATTGGTCTCTGGAATATAACCTGCTGCAGCAGATATACCAGCGGGCTTGCCAACAAGTCGGAACGTCACTAACGACATTGCGTCTGAAGTGGAAGAGACCGGAAACGAAGTTGGAACATTAAAAGAGGCGCAAATGGCTCGGTTTCAGGCAATGCCGTCGACTGAGTTCGCAGCGACCCGACCACAGCCGAGTGGGTGACTGGAGCAGCCGTGCTTCGTAATTTTCTATGCCATTTGACAACCGACCCCCCCCCCCCCCCCCCCCCCCCAAATAAAAAAAAACAGTTCTGGATTTTTTATGGACGTCATTCAACGATTCGTCTGCGCTTTTTTTTTTTGTTTTTTATTCACTTTTTTCAACCCAGAAAGTTGCCTTCAAAATATATATTAAAAATCCCGAGCTGAGAGAAAAAAAAAAAAAAAAAAAAGAAACAGCTATCGTTTTTTTTGTTTTATTTTTTTATTGATTATCAGGTTGCAAGCGACGTGCAGCACATGTCACAAGGCATGTGCTATCGATTCGTTTGCTACGAATGCAGCGCAAATGTGGGAAAAGTAAAGGCTCATTCACACTGCCCCCACTTTCTTACGTAAAGTTACATTTCGTATAAGTCAGCGAAACATTCGTGTCTCGAATGTCGCGTGTTATGCTTTCTCCTTGAACTGCGTAACGTAACTTAACGTAAGAAAATGGGGCAGTGTGAAGGAAAGGTAAAACTAGCAATGTTTAAAACTCCGCGCCGTCAGCTGGATGGGTAGAGCGACGATTAATTGTATGCCTGGTAGCTGGCGCCATCTAGCATTGATTCTGCTAAACGCTGACGGCCCTTGGTTTTGCACAAAAGGCAGAACGCACCAAATTTGGCTCGTTTTACATTATCAAAACGTGCAGAGTGGTATTACCGTTTTTACCGTTACTACAGTGGTTGCCGCGTATCGTTATATCTGTGATTTCAGTGCCGTAGTTTTATCAAAGCGATCAAAGCACTTACGGGGGCTGTTGGTTACAATTTCAACATTTTAAATGAGCTTTGTCGCTTACTCCTACGAATCGTCCAAAGTTGGTACACTATTTAATGTAAACACATAACCTGAAAGGATGGCTTTCGAGGACTACAAAAGTTTGAGCAATACTAACATAAACTAATAACAGATTCAAATATTCAAATAAAAACTTTTTAGTTTCGATTTCAGAAGCGCTCTGTGCTCCTTCGAGAAATCGGCAATATTTAGCCTTTGCCAGTAGTTAAATATAATTACAAGGTTTCATATATTAAATTTATTGTTATATTTAAATAATTATACTCATACATTTTATATATAAAACCTATAAAACGTATGAACTGACGGCCTGACGGTGTTTGAAACTCATTCTTATTAGGCTACCCAAAGTAGCATCGACAGCAGACAAACACGTTTTGCGGCCATTTTCGGCGTTTGTGGACCGCCGCGTCTTTTGCTACGTTTTCCCAACGTTCGCTACCAAGAAGTCTTCGCACTCCGCCTCAACTTCAGCGCTCGGCGCAAACCTCAACTCCTCTAAACAGACGCCATGGCATCGCTGCCGCTCAACCCCAAGCCGTTTCTCAACAGCCTCACCGGTAAGCCGGTCATGGTAAAGCTCAAGTGGGGGATGGAGTACAAAGGCTACCTCGTCAGCGTCGACGGCTACATGAACCTGCAGCTCGCCAACACGGAGGAGTACATCGACGGGAACTGCACCGGGAACCTCGGCGAAGTCCTCGTGAGGTGCAACAACGTCCTCTACGTCAGGGGCGTCGAAGAGGAGGAGGAAGACGGCGAAATGAAGGATTGAACGGCGCGCGGCCGCACGCGCGCGTTCGGGTGTTACCAACCGAAGGCGCTGCTGTGTTGACCCTGGAGATCACTTCTACCTTGTAAAATTGTTTGTTTGTTTGTTCCGTTTTTAATGTTGTACAGTGACACACATCATGCATCACAACTTGTACTCTTGAAATGAAAATCAATGTTTCTTAACGCGATTTTTAGGCGCTTCTGAACTTTATTTTTAGTTAATTTTTCGATATGTGTTGTGTTTTTTTTTTTAGAAAGCCATCTGTCACAACATAATATCTAAGGGAGGCTATACCCACACAAAAGAGTGCTGCTGTGCCAGTGAGCCTCATTTTGTAAAGTACTGTTCAGTGGCAGCTGCTATATACTGGCCATTTTCAGTGCATGTTTTTGAATCTACTTTCACGGCTTCGTGTTTTGACTGCCAGGTGCTCTGACTATCTGATTCGCTCGAAAAGGCTGGAGAGCAATCCTGCCGCCACAGGTTTTTGTTCTAGCCGTTGGGTGCCGTCGATTTCGCTGGAGTCGCCAATTACGAGGGGCCTACCATATTCATTCTATACTTGTTAGTGAGCGCATTGGTAATGATGTAGGTGTAGAAAGAGTTATATACGTAAAGACAGGGGACGGGAAGATTTATTGTCCCGTCCCCTGTCTTTATGTATATCTCTTTCTAGAACTACATATTCATTCTACAATAGATTTTTTTGGCCGCAGTCTTTACGCATGTTCACCTTCCCGACAAACTCCCCCTGGAGCCGAGTTCCCTTTACCATTTGTGTGGCAGCCTCTCCGTGCCCTGCAAGAACTACTTTTTTGGGAATGTCTCGCTCCCATACCTGGAAGATGCTTCCAGCCTACGAATGACCGCGAAATGGTGTCCCCACATGGGTGTTTTCACGCCACCCAACAGGTGATAACCGCTGGGGGCCCGGCCGGGCCATACCCACACACGACCGAACGTTTGACCGGTCGTACGGCGCGTTGGAAAGACGGCCAAATCCAATCGGGCGCCGGTCAATCACTGCGTCGTGTTCATGCGAGCCCATGACTGACCAGCGTCAGATCAGGTTCGGCCGTATTTTTGGCATGTCGTATGACCGGTCGGACGTTTGGTCGTGCTTGAGCACGGAAAACGACCTGGCATCGGTAAGAGAAGGAAACAAGATGAGGGGCGCAGTTTATAACGAAGAAGCAGGCTCGCAGACTAGTTCGTTGGAGGCCACATTCCGAACCGATTCCTGCGAAGCTGTAGTTTTTTTGTTTTCAAGGCGGCTCAAATTTGGGGTTTTTGGGTTTTCCCCTATTTTGATTAAATCGATTTGGGGAAGAGGAGGGTGGGGGGGGCATTTAATTTTAGGGGTTTATCAGTATTTACAAAACCTTTGTTATAGGTTCTTATGGTCGCCGACAGGGTGAGAGCAGCAACAGGGAGTTTCGGTTGTCCCACCTCTAGAGCAAACTTTCTTACTTCGACGACGCTTCGGAGTCTCGCGAACTTCAAGCCTCTGCGTGCATGCTTGAAATTTGTTAAAAAGCATGTGCTGGATGCCGGACGTTGGACAAAAGCACCCCGCCCTTTTCGTCTGGTCGGTGGCTACGGTTCACACGAGTGGCAGCTTCCACACCCGTTGGCTAAAATTTAAACGTACTGGGTGCTGCCGCAAGAACCGGCACGTTTGGCCCACCTCGCAAAACTCGGAATTTCAAATGTACGTACCTGAAATTGGGCACGCGGACACAATTTTGCTAAGCATTTTCCCGACTATTTTTTTTTTTTGAAGTCCAAGGGCTTCAAAACCTTAAAGGGGCACTCAACTGGATTCTGAGATTGTCTATTTATTGTCATAACTCAATCTATCGGCTCAAGCATCCTAAAATACCCGGAATCACATTCAAGAGCTGCCGATTTCCCTACTAAAATTCCAATCAAAGATTGTGCCACGCCCCTCTTTTTGCGCTGTGGCGCAAAATGCCAGGGGGCACTACCGGACGAGAAGGCAGCAGGGGAGGGCACGCGACAGCCAATCACGAGTGACAGCTCCGAGCACGTGGAGCGAAAGCTCGCGCTGCAGAACCCAGGGATCCTGGGTTCGAGCCCCACCCCTGCCCGTTTCGACCTGGATGAGCATCGTACCGGCGTGCGGTCGTGTATCACTACTGCGTGGTGTACGTTGAAGACCCCAGGCTAGCGGTTGTACCGCACTGGCTAAATTTCTCATCTACAGCTGGGAGACTCGTCGCCCCTGTAGATGCCCTTAATTGGCTGTCGCGTGCCCTCCCCTGCCGCCTTCCTGTCCGGTGGTACCCCCAGTGTTCTTTGCAACAGTGCAGAAAGGGGGATGTGGCATGATCTTTGATTGGATATTTTCTGAAAAAATTGGCCGCCCTTGAATGTAAATTTGTGTTTTTTAGGATTCTTAGAGCCTATAGATTGCGTTATGACGGTAAATAGATGATCTAAGAATCTACTTCAGTGCCTCTTTAAGAACGGAGCAAAAACTGCAGCCGTATATTTTTTACGCTGGACACCAGACATTTGTCGTCTGCACACTTTTCTCGCCTGGTTTACGGGGGGCCCAAGGCTTGGGTAAACGCGCCTCGGTGAATCACTTGCTAGCCTTTTTGGAATGGCATACCCTTTTCGATAAACGGTGTTTCTCTAAACTGAAGCTCTGCCTTTTCCAAACAGAGTTTCGATAAAATGTTTCTGCCCTACTGGAGTTGAGAGGCTCCGGTGGGCCGAAAACAAATTTGCAAACCCTTATCCTAAGCTTCCAAACATTACATGTTGACACCCCTCGCCTCGCTCGGAACCGCCAAGGGTTCAGCAAGCTAGGCTACCATCCAGATGCCAGCGAATGGGCAAGGTGTGCCAATGACAGGATAGTGGGATCCTTTTGATAAGACAAGCTGTCGAGGAAACGATCTGTCGGTGAAATGTTCGACGAACCAATTGCCACTGGGTGCGAACAGTACCTGGCTGAATAACAAGCTTGAAACAGCGATCAAGGCAACACTTCACGTACCGCAAACGTCAGTTTGTCGTGCGTTTGTACGTGGCAGGGGTCATCCAAATCCTTTTTCAGTACGGCCCGCACCACGAAGTCCGTCTGATATGATCGAGGAATCTAACTAAAGCCGTCGCCAGCCTGCAAATGCAAACAAAGGAAAGGTTGATACCTTTAAAGCTATCATTTAGTTTGATATGGCATGCGTTACAAATATGAGCAATATATCCAGGATAAAGGGTGTATTTAGGCATAATATGCCACATTACGGGATGTTTCCTGCTCCATTTGGGCGTAAAATTAGATTCATATGAATGAGCCAGTGAACACAGTCCCAGGGAAGTTTCCACAAAGATGTGTTTAGGAAGTGCATTAATCGAACTCAAATTTAATGAGCAGGTTTTTGTAAAAAAATAAAAAAAAAACACTTTTTTTTTATTATTATTATGTGAGGGAGCAAAACAAGCAAAACTATCAGGTTGGCGCTGCCACTCGCATATATGTAGGGCCCTGTGTTTTCGGTATTTATTTTTATTGGAATTCGGGGGTTATTTGTGAGTGTTTATATTTTTCCTCTGAATCAACGTTTTTCTGAGTCTAATTCCGATGCCGGAGAGAAATTGGTGTTTATCGGGCTTGTGTTGTAAAGTGACCGTTTAATTACCGGAGAAAATATAAGTTGTAATTTATAATATTTTCTCTAGTAACGGCAGTAAAGATAAGAGAAGAGAACGGGGCAAGGAATGTGGTTTCGACCCCAAGGACAGTTCAGTGCAACTGCGTTCCGAATCAACGAAAAAAAAAAAAAAAAGTAGGGTAGAAGATAGTTACCGTCAAGCTAGCGTTGTTGTTTTCTTCAATGACAGCTTAAATTCGTGATTTTTTGGTTTTCACTGATTCAGAGAAAACCGCCTCGGAAGTTATTTTCGGCGTTTATTGTTATATACCGAAAACACGGAACCCTACAGCTATGGCATCACATGGTACACAAACTTGAAAACTTCTTGGAGATCGTCCTTAAGCAGATCCCGGCGTATGTAGTATGCGAGTAGCAGCGCCAACCCGACGGTTTGCTTCAGATTTCCTCCCGCGCATAGGAAAAAGACTAAATTTGAGTACGATTAATGCACGACCAAAAAAAACCTGTGAAAAGTTACATGGCACTCCGTTGTACGCCCGAACATCGCTCGGGAACACCCTGTAGAACCAAGATCTGGGTAAATGCCAGACGTTAATGCGTTTAAACCTCACAACCTCGTATTCCTTCATCGCAAATGCCGCATATGTCAAAAACATGTTTTTCGCGCGTTCGGCAACAAATGTCCGTTTTCGTTTTCGCCGGTTTCGCCATTTTCGGTAGGACAAAAGGCGGCGTTTGCTTGCATTGAAAACTTCCGACATCATAATTCTGTGTAGTCGATAAATACGGGAAAATGTAACAGTTTTTATTTAGTCAGGAAGCTAAACTATAGTATCATTTACTAAATGAACAACAGCTCCATTAAAAATCAACCCGTGTCGGGTTTTCGCAGCGCGTTCAGAGCAGCCAATCAGCGCTTGAGCCACACGTTTTGAAATGTTTTGAAACTGTTGTGACGCGTGCCGTGCCTTCGTCGTTCGTCACCCTCGGAGTGGGTGGACAAGCCTGGACGAGCACTGACCGACACTACCAAAGCGACCAAAGCAAAGCCGCAAAGCGCCGAAGCGTCGTACCGCCGTCGCCATCGTCTTTTCAGGTCTACTCCGGCGAGACTTGTCTCGCATGCAACCGGCCCACGGCTTCGATGGACAAGCCAGACGAACTCCACGAGCCCGTTGCTTCGATTGAGCCCGACGAACTGAACGAACTGGAATCCCGCAAGTACGCCTACCTTCTAGACTTGGCAAGGGAGCTCGGCTTTACCTGCAAAGGAAACCCGAAAAAGGCCCGCGTCATCAAGTTCATCAGGCAGTCAGTGCTACCCGCGCTGCACGAGAAAGGTAATGCGCTTCGCAAGATTTTTCCAGTGGCGAATTTTAACGCAAAAACGTGCTCACTCGTTAATTTGAAGACTGAATGCACTACCTGCATAGTAAACTATGAAGTGTACTTGAAATATACGTGGTTATTGGGCCGTCATATCACCAAAAAAAATAAGCGTATGTTAGTATTCTGTGACGTAAGTAAAGTGGCGGACAGTGCGCGTCCATTCACGTTCGTGTCTAAACACGAACGCCAATTTCGTTCCGCCAGCTGGCAGTCACTATGGTATTGTGATTTATTATAAAGAGTCGGTGTAAGCTAACTAGTGTAGGCAATTCTCAGCGTCAGCTTTTCTATGCGTCTGTGTCAAGGTTAGGACAGTTTCGGCGGTGCTGCTACGCCCCCTTATCCCCCCTCCTCCTCCTTTTAGGGCTTTAATCTGGATACTTGGGGGAAAATTCGGCCGAAATTCGACCGCCGTGATAGCCCGGTGCTAAGGCCAAGCGCGACACCGGCCAATCGCGCTGTTTTTGCAGTGTCCAGATCAGAGCCCCTGATCTGCAGGGTCTCTTCGAATTCATTGTGGTGCAGCACCACTCCCATCTGCTTCAGCCTGATCATGCGAGGAACACTTGAGTTGGCGCCAATGTTAACCTCTTGATTTTAATCAAACCAGCGTCGAAGCACTGAGCGTCTGTTGCAAGGAATGCGGAGGTTGAGTGTGTTGTGTATCCTGGAATGCGGAAAATTGACGGTGGCATTGCGCTCTCGTCCGCATGCTCTTTCTCGCTCAATGTTCGAGGCTGGTATATCGGTCGTTTCAGCTTACATGGTCCAAAACCGTACACGTGCCCAGTTCACTGTGAATGCCACATTGCGAGCTGTCAAGAGAGTAGGTGTCAAATTTTCTCGAGACTGAAAACCTACAATGCCCGTTTATTCCTACTTGCCAACAAACTTGCTTGACGTCTCTCAAGCAGCGTTCACACACTTGCAACTGAGTAGGAACGAGAGTGACAAGTCCGGTTCTTTAAGCCTCTTGTGACGACATAGGACCTGCTCTGCAGCAGTGTGTCCGGACCTATGCCATTGCAAGAGGCTGAAAACTGGTTTTGTCTCGGTCCTAGTCAGTTGCAAGTGTGTGAACAGCGCTTCACGGGGGTTCTTTGGAGCCCATTATACTCTGTTTCATACTTAGCGTGCAATGCTGTCAAAGCTACTGGTGCGAGCGTGGGGCTTGATCTCGCTGATCATTTGCACGCATTCTCGCGCAAACCAAACCATAGATGAAGCCACGCGCTCGTGCCAGTAGTTTTGACAGCGTTGCACGCCAAGTATGAAACAGAGTATAGAAACTGCCAGGCTGTCGCACCGAAATATTTTTCGTTCCAGTTCAGGAAAAATGGTTCAGCTCCGGTTCAACTCTGGAGTAAAAAAATAAACGTTCAAACCAGTTCGTACTCATATGCTACAAAAACAAGTGATGACAGCAAAATATAAACTATGCATATTTCATAAAAGTGTTTTATATAAAAAGCAAAGGCTCACATTACTGTGTGGAATGTGCGAGCTAGTGCTGGGGCACCTCGGGACGTGGGTGAAAGCGCAGTTTAATGTCAGGCAGATGACCGAAGAAGCAGGACGTCGTCAAGCATGTCAGGGGAAAGACGGCACCTCTGAGATGATGAGATGAACTTCAGTGCAGAAAAGGCTCGCTCCATGCTGACCTGGGTCGCAGTCACTCCCATGGCTACTTGTGCCAATGCTTAGAGTTCTGGATGGCGTTTGCTTCTCTCCTCCCAAAACTGCAACATGTTAGCGTCCCTTGAAAGCTGCGACTCCTTGTCTAGCATTTCCAGGAGGCATGCTATAGAAAGTGGGCTACTGGTACCTCGAACGAGCACGCCAGCTTCAACCTCTCTTTCCGTGAGGAGCGCCTCGAGGGTGACTCCCGGACCTTCTGGAACCGCCGCAGTTTCAGAAGAAAGGGTAGAATCTTGCTCGCATTGCAGAGCTGCGATTCGCCTCCAAGTCTTTGTCAAATGCAACGTGGCTCGGTACTTTTCCTGAAAAGTGAGAAGAAGGCGGTAGCGAGGATCCATATACACTGCTGCACAGAAGACATCCGTGTCAAGAAGTTGGCACTCCCTTTTATTCATTGCATGACTGGACCAAGGCCTTTGCTAATGGCAACGATATCTTGAAAGTGTCCATGGAACTCCTCAGTCATGCTCCGTAGAAATCTTCAACAGTAAGCTGTGCCATGTGCATTGTCTTCGTCGCCACTTTTGCTGGGCGAAGCGATACTGCGAGCATTTCGACTTCTGCCCATACGTCTTCAGTCCACCTGAGGCTTTCTTCTTTCGAGGGGAAACCTCCAGCGAAGCCTCTTAGTTCAAAGCGTGAGCATATGCAGCGTGGACATTCACCGCGTTGAACAATCGGGCACTGGTTTCTTCAGTCCTAGCTTTCTGATCAGGGACAGAACAGATTGGACATAGTCTCTTAATAAGCGCACGGCTTTCTTCAACAATGTGCCGGCATCCTGAGACTTTCAAGGCGTCACTAACTGCCAGCTGCAGCGTGTGAGCGGCACACCTCATCCCTTCTAGCAAGCCGGAATCATCAGAGAGTGCGCTCTCAGCATTCTTCACTAGAGGTTGCAGAGCGTGGGTCTCAACTTCAGGGTCACTAGAGCCGACCTCTTCTTCGGAGTCGGAACATTCCTTGTTCATTTCATCGAGAAGACCCACAGCTTTCACCATGTTGGCACCGTTGTCTGTCATGACGCTGTATACCTGAGTGACGTCGAGATTGAACGCCTTGATGAAATCAAGGCGTTTAAAGTAAATTGCACACAACTCTACAAAATTGAAGACAAGAAACACCAAACAAATATCGGACTCAACGCCAAAAAAAAACTACAAACAGAGGTATAGACAACACTATGTGTGTTGTCTATACCTCTCCCTATCCTTTCTTTTTTTTTGGGGGGCATTTAGTCAGAGATGAAAATTGAACTAGCTCAACTCACCGTCTTGCCACCAAACAAGCTCATTAATTGGTCACTTTTGCCGACATACTAATTGGGTATGTTCTAGTGATGAATTTTCTTTGATGAACCAGTTACGGTCCCCAAGAAAAGGTTGGGACGAATATGGTCATTTGTTAAATAAATACATCCGACCAGAAATCCCGGAGAATTTATAGTTACCGTGCACATTTCATTTCAGTACTCGAGACAAACTTCATAAATTATGAAGACAACTGCTATGTGAAAACCTGAAAATGGATCGTTACAGAGCTTTCCGCTACCTATTTTTCTCACTTTTTTACTTCCCACATAAATGAAACACCACAAAAATAATTGATCAGTTTTCCAGAAACGAAAAAATAATTATGTCGGTCCAGTTCAAGTCCGGTTTGTGCAAAATATTTTTTCTTTTGCATTTTTTGGTTTACTTTCTAGGTTACTGTGTTTTTCGCCACACACTTTTCACGCGACCTGACTTTGGGTATTAACCGAAAACCGCATAGAAAACGTATTGGTTTTGTTCCGGAGCGAAAAAAATTGTTTCGTTCCGGTTCAACTTCGGTTCGCACGAAAATAATGGGTTTTTTCCAGTTTTCGGTTCAGGTTCGGTTCAATACCCTGGAAACTGCAACCAACGCCATACTTGCCTGTAGCCAGGCACGTAGCCAGGATATTGTTTCGGGGGTGCCCGCCCATGACAAAATGCTGTATGAGGGGGAGGGGGGAGGGGAGGTCCCAGCAAAATAGAAGATTTCGGGGGAGCCTGGGCCCCATGGCCCCCCCCCCCCCCTGGCTACGTGCCTGCCTGTAGCTTGTCAAGTGCCTCCGCCGCTCTGATTGGCTCAATGGGACGACTCTTTGCCAAGGTACGGCGGAACAAGGTCTAGTGACAGATCTGCAAAGAGCCTCACTTTTCCTTACAACGGTTTTTGAGGTGAAAACAAATACGCTAAGGATACATTTTCTTTCATTTTCAGAAAATGGAGAGACCGAGCGGGCAGTCCTCGAAGTTGCAAACTTGTCGAAAGCCAAACCGAAGCCGGCTCCACCGAAAGCTGGCGGAGTTGCGGTCTCGTCGACGCCGTCTTCCTCGCGACCGCGACGTCCCGGCCAGACGCCGAACTTTGCACGGATCCACCAAGCCGCGTTCAACAAGATGAAGTCGATTGATGAGTATGCGTCGCAGAGGACCAAAACACCGTCTGCCAAGTCCCGGATTCCGACGGCCCACCTTCCGCGGGGTGTCCAGGCTTCGTCTCGGATCCCAAAGCCAAAGTCAAAACTCGCACCGAAAGAACCCAGACGCCTGGCCGCAAAGGAAAGGACGACCCTCAAGAGCAACTCGGCCACAGCTTGGCCAGCGGGTTCGGCCGTCAAGGCGGCGGCAGCGACTGAATTGAGGCGCCAGAAAAACCGCTTCATCCTGGGCCAGGTGCGGTCGAACCGCCACTTTGACTTAATGCTCGCAAACAGGGGCATCACCATGTAAACATTAGCTGCTTAAGATGACATCTTTATCTGTCTTTTTTATCAGTCTAAATTGCATATCACATTTCTTGACCCCTATACTGTGGTTCGCCTTACGTTGAACCAGAGAGGATGCTACAAGCAATTGAAGCCAATCCAATCCAATGCCATGCAAGCACTCGCTGTGCTGGGTTAGCTTGTAGCATTCTCTGTGGTTCATCGTGATGCGAGATGGTGTATAAGCTTTCTGTTTCATCTTGTAACCATTTCTGACATGTGCTCTTCCTTGTACAGATAGTTCACCATCAATTTGCACAGTTGAAACTTGTATTATTCGTACATGTGATTGAGGTCGGGAGCGCATCACCAAAACAAAGTTCCGAAATAGTTTCGGCAACATTGTTCCGGAAATGTGCTCCCCACCTTCAAAAATTGAGTGTTTTGTTTTTAGCACTATTGTAAACTATGCATTGGCAAAAATTCACAGCGTTCGGATTTTATTTTTAACCTCTTTTTTAAAAGAATTTTATAAGCTACAAATTTGAAATTTCCCTCTTGTCAGCACTTTCTTTTTTTTTTTGCTTAAAGGTTTGCTTGCGTTTTGCAATCTTGTAACAATCGTAGCTTACAGCATTTTCTTGAGATGTTGTAAATGTATCAATGGACGAGCACGACCATCGCGAATGCCCCTCGCTGCTCGCATTTGTTTTTGCGTCCTGTAAATACCATCATTTTCGATATGACTCGTCGCAAAAGTGGATATCGTTAGTTTCTATGTTTTTTCCTGCCCCGGAAATAAAACTGTTCCGGACTTGGCCTGTGGCACGTTCGTCTTTTTCTGGTGTCAGAGCTATGGGGTCTGGAACACGGCTCCGCCTGGTGCTCTTGGCGTCCTTTTCTGCCCATTGAGAGACGATTGCGCGACGTGATGCGTTTATGCAGCGACAGCTGTGCAGTTTATTCTATGATATGGCGATCGATTGACAGTGTGCCAGTCGTGCGTTGTACGGTGATCCTAAATTGAAAGGACGTTGCCTTGATTTAGCATCGATACGTTGATGCACAAATGATTAAAAGGTCAGGATGCGTTTTTCTGCCAAATTTAGTGGGGTAACTGAATTAGTGCATAGTGTCACGCGACTACGAATTTTTCTGCTAAATTTAGTGGGGAAAGAATTGGTGCATAGGTCACATAATGTAACGAATTGGTGCATAGGTCTCGGTGTTAATTTTTTCTCCAAATTTAGTGGGGAAGCTCTTCGTTTTTATGCTCACGCTGTCGAAGAACCGGGGAACGGGCTACTAACAGCCATCGCTGTAAAAACTTAACAAAAGCTGGAGTGTCATGCTGTCGGATGTCGCAATCCTGGCGGTTGGGCATAGAAGTCGTAGCAGCGTCGTAACTCTTGGCTGCCGAGGCTTCCGTTAACTCGAGTTGGAGAGTGACCTGCCATAGAACAGGAGTCTGCCGCGACACTGCCAACATTGCAGCCGGCGACAATGTGACACTCTTGTGGCGCCGTCGGCCGGAAATTGTAGGACCACTCTTGGGATCGCACCGGTCCGAAATATGTTCCATACATCGTAACAAGAACAACTCTCTTTTCATTCTTCCTTCACTTTGTCGTTTTGCAAGCTGCCAATGGAACAGCCTTCGCCATTTTAGTATTGCTTCAGAGACGTGAAACTCTTGGTTCTCAGCACACTTGTATATCTGGCGTAAAATACTGAGCAAGAGCACACTAAAAGTATGGAGATAGTCGCGAAAATTGGGGGAATGGGCACTTGTTAGGTCAGCAATTTTACCTATATATGTACTGTATATGTTTTGTTTTTCACATTTTGAAAATTTTGGGGGCTGGTACTTAGTATGAAAATGGCAGATGCCCAATATTTCAAGGTAATGTAAAAATAATCAGGCAAAACATTTTTTTTTTACTAATAGTGTCTTGGGAGCACGATGTTGGGAGCATCTGTGTTAGTGAGGAAATTGGAAGAAGAATTTCGAAATAAGTTCAGTCCAACTTGGTTGCTAAATTTGATGATCGCTTTCCCCAAACGCCTGAAATTGTGCAGTAGGTGGATGGTTTGGGACGGGCTATATTTTTTAAATGCTCGTTTTATAAAGCGGGCAGCTTTGAAACATAAGTAAATAATACATTCTCTAGAATATTTTATTAAAATTAAATGCTTAAAAGTGACATTTAATATCCAGTACCAGGGAGGGTTTGGAGCTCCGGGCAGAAAGGTCTCAACGCAATCGTAACACGGCTCCGTGACATAGGCGCCGACTGCGTGCGTGTGTGTGTGTGTGTGTGTGTGTGTGTGTGTGTGTGTGTGTGTGTGTGTGTGTGTGTGTGTGTGGGGGGGGGGGGGGGGGGTGTTTGGAAGCCTGACCCCCCCACTTCCCTTAAAAAAATGTCGGGCTCTCAACCACCCCCCTCTGGGAGCTTCTCGGGAAAGCAAGTACACATGCCTCCAGGACCTACGCCTCATTCACCTGATATGTACGCAATGGCGGGTGCTGGCGCATATCGACGGGTGCCGCCCACAAGTCAGAGCAGCGAGAAAAAATAACTGCAAACATTATTTTACGGAGACATCTTAAAAAACTCGATTCCAGGAGAAAAAAAATGGCAATGAAAAAGAATGCAAGCATGCAGATGACTGAAAATACGTAAGAAAGGTCTCCCTCTACGAAAATATGTAGGAAAAGACTGCAGAAGCACGTCCTTCTAGCATTCAAAACCATCGTAGAGGTTTCAAATATATTATGCTCAGAAAAGCAAGGTAGACACTTCCAGCTCATCTGGAAAAAGACTAGCTACACATGGATCTCCTACAATGACCAAAGTGACAAGGTGTTCTGCGAAACCTGCCGGGCAGCTTCAGAGATGAAACAGCGCAACAAGTAGACTCTCACCTAGCCTTTGTTACAAACGGCTTCTTCAATTGGAAAAAAGCTGTGCGTAGGTTTCGGGCCTATGGGTGCCCAAGTTTCATAAGGAGGCATGCCAATCATCACGGCTGTGAGAGGCATGCCAATCATCACTACTGTGAGAAGCATTGTAAATGTGATCGCTGCTTGTGTCAAGTAAAAAGCAAAAGAAATGAATTACACAAGGCAGGCCCTCCTAACGATATTGTCGTCTGCTCTACCTGCCAAACCGGGGTTAGGCAATACATGGCCACGAAGACGCAGAGAGAGTAATTTGAGGCACTTGCAACGGCAAGATGTCCCTGCTAAGGAAATCCCGTCGTGGGAATCGTGGCTTTTACGAACAAAATGCAAATGGATTTCCCATCGGATTCTAAACAAAAACTTGGAGCTCGTGGCACAAAATGTCCTTCGTTCACTCACAGATGAAGTTTGGGAGTTGGAGTGCTACGCGGTTAGCAAGGACGAGACAGCAGAAATTTCTGCCAAAGAACAAACTTTCAGTTTTCGGGTTGTTACAGAGAGATTTGACGTACATGCTTTGCGGTTTCTTCAGCACTTTTGATGTACGGGCAGCATAGGATGCTAGACACCCAGTTGAAGACGCGTTCCAGGCACTATAGTCTGAATTTCATTGCAGTTGAGTTGGTTTTGGGTCGGTTGGGTCGTGGAGCAGACGCGCCATACAAGCAGAGCAAGTTAATTGTCTGCCCCTTGCGCTGGAGTTGCGGTGACGTCAGAAGGACGCCAAGCTCTCATTGGCTTTAATTGAAAGGATGGTGCGTAGACCTCAATGCTAGGTGCCTTGAGGTCTACCCTCTATTTTATTTTCAATCGGCCAAACAGAGCTCGGCATGCTGACATCGTTGCAACCCCGTGCAAGAAGCGGACAAAGTTACGCTTTGCGTAGTCACACAAACTCGCCGAAGTAAGCACAGAAAAACAATAATTCACACTTGTGAACATTGGCTGATTAATCATCACCTTTCGAAAATGCTATTTCTACGTACACGTGCAGGGATGGGAACATCCCCTACCTTGTACTATGTACCAGTGGCATAGGCAGGAATTATTTTTGGGAGGGCGGGGGGGGGGGGGGGCTGAGGTGCCTGGGATGTCCATGACTTGGTGTGCAGAGGGGGAGAAGGGGGGGGGAGTTCAAAATCAGTGGCATAGCCCGTAATCTTTTTCTAGGGGGAGGGGGAGGGGGGGGGGGCTGTGGTAGCTGGATGCGCCAGAGCTGTATATTGGTAGAGTTTGGCCAGTGGGGGTGTGGCGATGAAGGTGCCGGAGAGAAGAAAAGTCAATGAAAGGGAGGAGAACATTGAAGGAGCGAGAGAGAGAGAAGGGAGCAGAGAGGAGACGACCGCCATTTTTTTGCAACGCTGTCGGAGACTGGTCGGAGAAAAGCGAGGCTACGCGTCGTCTGCTACGGGCCGACCTCTTTTTCGCCTGAATAAAAGTTTGTCGCCATACGTCGAGAAAACTTCATTTATTAGCTTTTTAACCCACCGAGGAATATGTCCTTTTCTTGCCAGAGCCAGCGATATAAAAGGAAATAGACGAGATTTAGATGCCAACACCATGCATTCTGCCGGGAGAATGAACGAAAATGGCGGCCCTCCCCACTCGGCTGCAAGCAGCCGGGAGTATGCACGCATCCGCTCATGCCTGTCGCTCTGCGCCGCGTACTGATTGGCTCGCTCGGGACGAGAGCGGTACAGCGGCGAGATCATAGACTGACCAAACCCTCGCCATATACGGCTCTGGGATGCCCATGACTTCGGGCACAAAGAAGGGCAGGGGGGGTCTGCTGGGATTTCGGGGGGCACTGAAGCCCCATAAGCATCCCCCCTCCCCCTGCCTATGCCCCTGGTCAAAATGAGTGTGTATAATATAGGGTCGGCAGGATATCGAGAGAGGGGGGGGGGGGGGGGGGCTAAAGTCCCATAAGCCTCCCATCTGGGTATGCCACTGCCATGTACCCTAAATCGCGGGAGCCCAAAATAAGAATGTACAGCATTCCATTGGATGATTGTGAACATTAATGACGATAGAAAGCCCTGAAGAGGAACAAGTAGCACACCAGTCACCTAGCTGTGTTTGGAGATTTGTTTGTCCCATGTCCCTCTTATTCCCCTTCTCCAGAAATTTTTAAGATTACTGTTGTCCAGTTAGCTTGCATTTTTGCATTAATCGCATTATCATTATGAACATTTCAGTTTAGGTTCCACGACATCATTTATTTTCTCTTGCTATCTTTCAGCCTTGTTGAGTGCCATTTTTGTTCACCTGTTGCATTGTCGCTGGCAGTTTTTTTCCTTTCTCAGACCGAGCAGTTTCTTGGGTGGTTTCACGAAGATGTGAACAGCTATATGTTTACATTTGAAAAATAATAACGAGAAGGCTGCGTCGGGACGAAATGAAAGACGACCAATCGAAATAAGCTTCATTACAGCGACACACATACTCAGCGTGTGCCTCCTTTTGTATACAAACATGATGTCATAGGCTCGAGCCACTGTACGACTGTAGAGTGGTGAAAAGACAGCGAGTGCGCAGGCGAGCTGGTGTATGTTGATCATGATGTAGAAAACCCGAGACTGGCAAAAACAGGAAAACTTGGTCGAAGAAGAAAGACAGGTGAAAAGGACGTCTCAAACTCAGCAGTGGTGATCTCTGTACAAAAAATGACCGCATCTCCACGTGGTGAATGATGTTGATTGGGGCGAAGCTCTGGTGGTGCTGATGATACTGATTTTATTGTTCATAAGTAGTGCTGATGGTGCCGATTTTTTTTGTTGCTCATAGGTAGTGCTGAGTTCCGGGTTGCGTTTCGGCTTCATTATTACTGCTTTATGGTCGGTGAAATGCAGAGCCAGTGTTT